CGCATGAAACAGTAAAATGAGAAGTCGTAAGTGTTTCAGTTGCAGCGTTCGGACGAAATTCGTTGGAATACTATTTTGAGGAACCAACTGCAGAGCGCTTCCCCTTTGTGTATTTACCAAGTTGGATAGCAATTGGCCAAGCAATCTATTTGAACTGAACTCTCTTTCATAGGGAAAACAAGGTTCTAGTAAAGAATCCTAATAATTCCATGCAATTAAAAAACTCCATCAATTGATTTTGTAACATCTTGTTCGAGGGAACAGGTAGCAGACTTCCATTCCCTTCTTTTCGCCTTTCTCTCAGCAGTGCGGGCCACCGGACAGGTTGATAACGGGTTCGATTCGCATCGCAAACTTTTGTGCTACGCAGTTTTGCAAATACTTCGGCGTCATTGTCGTTAAGCAGTGACATTTATAACAGGTAACAGATGTATGTGTAGATAGAGTGTGTGCAATCCTCGATGCGTAGAGCACTTCATTCGAAGAAATCCGCTTTCTCAACTTTATTTTCATAACACCTTAATGAGGTTAGGTTAGGTTATCTTACATGAAACCTCTAATGTTTGTATATAATAAACCTCTCTTGAACAAAGCCGCTTTCGGTCGGCGATTAATCCCTTATTTACGCCTCCTCAGGTGGGTTAATCGCGAAGCAAAAGCGATTTTTGCTTCCTTGAAACGCACGCGATTCAAGGAGATGAACTCCTTGTTTCTGCTACCCTGGTCTGGCACCCACCTACCTTCTGTATTTATGAGGCGTATTCATGCATACGTGTACGGGTGTGTTTTCGTTTATGTATATTGAATTCTACGAGTTAATTTAGCCAAAAGACTGCAATCAAGTGACAGGGAAGTATATGAGAGGCAGTTAGGAGTCGCTCCAACAAATAAATTTCATGTCCACTCTGGGAGAGCTAGCCAAGCTACCCGTGTGTATACCCAGCCCTTACGTTTAGAGCCTAGCAAGCTATACGTGGGTATCAAAAAGCTAAAAACAGTAAAAGAAACGGGCCTCAATGCCCTGACCTTGAAAGAGCTCCCAATTCGGCAGCGTTGGGTAGGACGAGTACGGAGAGGCTGCTAAAATCTCAGGGGCAACGGAAGCTGCCTAGATCGCAAAGAAGTAAGGTGACGATTTGTACCTACACTGCTCGTACACTTTGGGAAAAATAAGGTGCGACGTCATCCGCCTGGCCGAGACGAGGCGACGCCATCCATTCAACGCCGTCTATGACACCGAAGAAAAACTGTCACTCGGAACATGCGACAATAGAGGAGTCCGCGTTGTCGTCAACACGACTTTGTCCATGAACATCGATTCATTAAAATAGCTGACAACCCGAATCGGACGTTTACGATTGAAGAGATGTGAATCAATACTGTCTTCCACAATGTTTGTCGCTAACGCACTGACATCAAACTATGACGAAGAAGAAGTCAGAGCGTTCTATATGAACTTGAAGATGTTCTGCAGAGAAGACCAAACATTCTTCCAGGTCATCGCTGGAGATTTTAACGCCAAGAATAGACCGAGAAAAACGTAACACCCACGGATTGGAATAGAACGAAGAGGCGAGCGGCTTTCTGAGTTTATCATGACGACCAGGACCATGAATGGTAACTCGCAATTCCGGAAGCCCACCCTCAACGTACGTTAGACGTGGGAGTTTCCCTGCGGAGAGTGCCATAATAAAATAGACGGCATCATAGTATTTAAACCAAAAAAAAAGAAAAAAGAAAGAAAAAAACCGAAGCCTTCCCAATGTTGCTGTTGTCTCGAAATTCTACACTGGACCGGACCACCGTCTCATAGTTGCGAGACTTTATTTCTCGCGCAAAAGAGAAAAAGCAGGTAAATTCAAAAAATGAAGTTCTAAAATCACCATAAACTGGGACTTATTCAAATTATTAGTCGGCTGCTGGGAAGATGCCGGTGTCGATAACATCAATGAGGAATACGATCGGCTCATTCAACATCTTCACGTTAGCGCTATGAAAGCTGAGAGTTCGAAAGTCACCATGAGACGTCTGTCTCTAGAAACACTAGAGCTCATGCGCCTGTTTGGAATCGCTCGAACTTACAAAAAATGCTGACGGGCGGTAAAATAGATCTTAAAGACAGAAGAGCAGCAGTTATGGTCGAAGCTGCAGAGACTGGGAAAAGCATTCGCAAAGTCCACCGAAGCTTCGCCAATTACAGGACCAAGATGGTTGCATTCCGATGCCCAGGCGGAACAGTTAGTCCAGAAAGGCAATGGAGATACTCATTCACGTCTACTACTCAGATCACTTTAGTTGGCACGTTCTTCTTCGCTCATATGAAATAAAGGACCATGGATATGTTGTACCACCGGTTCTCCCATCCGAAATCCCACATGCTACTTCGTCAGTGCAAAATCGAACAGGACCTTCCGCTAATCCTCTTAAACACACTGGCATAACTCTTCACACGTTGCTTGTGTGAATGCAAGGTCGCCACTTCATGGAAAACCACTAAAACCGTGCTGGTATTCAAGAAGAGTGGCCTTCACAATATCGACAACTGTCGCCTAATCTGCTTGCTGTCTGTCGTCTAGAAACTTCTCACTCGACGCATCTCATATAGGATTGACAGAACACTGGACGAAAGACAGCCATGTGAGCAAGCAGGGTTTCGAAAAGCATACAATGCGATGGAGGACATCAACACGATCACAAGACCTACTGAAGTATCACGAGGGTATAAAAGACCGTTCTGTCTAACCTTCAATGTTGTAAAGAATGCTTTTGACTCAGCTGAGATAGAAGCAGTCATAGAAACTCTGTACAGTCAAGCAATCCGTATTCAGTATATAAAGATTCTTCGTGAGCTGTACAAAAATTTCACAACTAACAAATCATCATTCTACAACGATATTTAAATCGACGTCAAAAGCGGGTTAGGCAAGATGATATCTTCTCGCGAAAATTATTTACCGCCACCCCCAAGAATGTCATGCGAACATTGGAATAGGATAATATGGGGTTGAAAACCGAGGCCGTCGAATACTCCATCTTGGTTTTGCTGATGAAATCGTTCTTATAACACTAAACATTAGCAAAACAAAACGAATGCCTACCGGGTTTAATCAAGCCTGTGGAAAGATTGGTCTTCGATTTCACGCTCAATGGAAGAATATCTCCGAATGCTTCAGTTAAGTCTATCTTGGTCGAGAAATTAGTACGGTGAGCGACTTAGCTCCAGAGTGGAGCAAAAGGAAACGAACAGCTTGGAGAGCTCCCAAGAGCATCGAGCGTGTAGTGAACAAAACAAAGAACACCAGATTCCGTGCCCATATGTTTTATTTCACGATTCCTCGTGCCATAAAATATGCTTCAGAAACCTGGTCCCTGCCTGAGATGGGCGAAGGATCACTCAGCGTTAGTGAACGCGCAGTCGAAAGGGCGATGCTAGGAGTATCCCGTTCCACACAAGTAAGGGATGGGATCCGAAGCTTCGATCTTCGTTAACGATCAAAAACCAAAGATGCCGTTTTGTGCGCCAAACATTGGAAGATGAAGTGGGTCGGACACGTAATGCATATGAACGACAACCGTTAGACAGGAGCCCTCAGTGAACAGATTCCTCGGTACGTTAAACGCAGTGCAGGTAGACCACTGACTTGATGGTCAGAGTTCTTGACGAAAAGCCTAGAAAAAAGATATGACAATCGACGAGTCCCTAGAGCGAGAAGAACCCACTGGGCTACTCTTGCACGCGGCAGGGAAAAATGAAAGATTTACTGGCGCCCGCTCGAGTCACCAGACGATCAACGGGACTATAGAAACCTGCGGACAAAATTTGTATAAAACCTATTCCACAAATAATTTTGAGAGTGAGGGATGAGAAGTGTGGTTTAGTTTTTATCCTTTGATTATGGAAGAACATGTGTATAACTAAACTATAAGTAGAACGAAATATGGAAAAAGATACCTTCCCCTTCCTTTCCCAGTATACCCTTCCAGGCTCTGAAGAAGGCGATACTGCCGAAACGTCAGCTAGCGTTGTATTGTATTGTGTTTTTTATGGAAGTAAATGTATGCTGTTTAAAAACCTCGCGATTGCTGAACAAGAAAACGATGCATTCATATTCCAATGCCGAGGTTAAGAGAAAGTCGATCCTAGGAACTATGGAAAAAGAATGAAGAAACGAAATATCGGTACTATTTTCCAGGTTTCCTGGGTAACTGTTGTGATCTCTCACACATAATTCTTCTTCTGAGCTTATGCATTCGTCTCTTTTCGTATACGTTAACTATAAAAAATCGTGAGAATCAACATGTTCTATGAATGAAAGCAGATTACTTCCATCAACACCTAAATGGTTGTTACGAAGGTAGACTTGCGGTCATAAGTTTTTCGTGGGAGGTGCTTTGGAGAAAAAGTGAAATAAACCAGGCAGAAGAGAAGCTACATTGGTATGAACGAAGCGCGATATCCAGATCAAGCGAGTGACAGAGGAGGAGGTTCCTGATGTACTGATGGACCAACAAAACTATCTGAGCATGATGACATTGGAGTTTGTCACTCAGTGGAAGAGGTGGGAATTGCGCGAACTGCAGGGAGTGGTCCTGAGGGTCTTCAAGTAACAGAAAAAATACAGAAAACATCTAGAACCTATAAACTTCTTCGTGCTTGTCGAAGAACACTTATCTATAATCACATGGTGGAATTGAGGTAGGGTGTCACCAATCGATGACATAATGACCTCAGAAACAATAAGAAATATCTCCTTGCAAGCATAATAAATCTGCCTTAGCTTTTCTTCGTTCCCTCCCCGTTTTGAGCTACTAGCGCAAACTAGTTCATCACAAACTCCTAAAGAAGAATTTTCCAACAAACTCACGAATTACCGGAAAAAATCTTTTCGCAGCGTTTCTCATAGATTAAATCAAACGTAGCACAGAATAATCCAGTTTTTCAATTTCAACCCAACGTTAAATAAACTGAAAGCAATCAGAATCTAAAGGACTACTCTTTCATGGTAAGAAATGCTTTTTGCAGTCCTTCAATTAAAAGCTCTGCTTCTTACCACAACTGCGAAAAATATATGGCTTAAATTATTGCTTAGTGGACGTTTACATTGTCGATCCATTGAAAATTTCTTCAATCAATAATTTGTTCTAAAACAATGAATGAGTTGTATAATTCCAAATGTAAGTTCTCATAGCGTAATATCTACGATACCATACAAGTACTTACGGTGGAATGTACACAACACAATACAAATAAAACGTACGGCAGATTGTGCCAACTGTGTGTAAACTTCAATGATGCTGAGATATTATATATTATATAGATATCTCAACATTATTGAAGTTATATTTCACAAAGCATACCCTGCCGTTAAAAAGAGTAGGCAGTAAATAATAAGTTAAAATTCTTCACGTTGTTGAAATATCAGGCCACGTCTCTGTTTCATAAGGTAGGGTTGCTGAATTAAAGAGGTGTGTGCTGATTTCCGGGTTCTTTAGTTCGACTTTAGTCCTCCTTACTTTCGAGATTTTTAAAGAATTTCCCAAAAACCATTTCCATATGATGGAAAACGAGTTCGTGCAACGACACCGCTTTGTAGAACTGGCTTTCTGAAGTAACGGTGCTGAAAGTAGTACGTAGAGATGGTTTTAGGTGTCTGGACGCAGAATTCATGATCCACGATCGAACAAGCTAGCACATGTACGTGATGCCACCAAGTGTAGAGCACAGGTGGCGATCCTTAATCAATGTTTACTCTAGTCAGGCGGCTTCGCGAGTTACCCTGAAATCTGTCTTGACGTGTGAGCTACGGTCCATGCTTGAACTGAACGTCGTTCAAACGTTAATAACGACGTGTAATTGTTGATGATAAGCATGAATGAAACGTATATAAGCTAATATTGGTTTCCTAACTTCATTTTTCTCGCTGTTCTGTAAGTTTCTGTCTCTAAATATTCACGTTTGTTACTGTGTTTGTTGCTGTGGCAGTTCACCTTCGGCATTTCGCCTACATTTTTTAAGTGTCGATCGTTCCTTTCTTGAGCCCAACACTGCGCTTCTAGTTTGAAACAATGAGTGAGAGCGTGGAACATGGAACTGGTGAACAGAGAGATTATATGGAGACAATGGCCGTGGACGTGAGAGTCGAACCAAAGGGTATCCAGGTAGTGTTTCCTGCAATTCTTACGCAGCAATGTTGAATTCAGAGCTTAAAGTTCCATTTTCTTCTTGTTGTTGGTTTTTTCTTCGTTTGTGAAAACATTTTGTTGTGAACAGTTACTGATAAGTTTCAGGGTTCCGACGTGATGACGACGCTAGACATGGACGACTTTTTTGACGAGGGAAAAAGAGGTCGTGACGAAGTCCGCGGTTGTTCTGATGGGAACGTGAGACACTAAAGTCTTTTATCATTTATCGTTTTCTGGCCTCCCCTTTAATTGCTCATCTCTTGGTTCTGAGTTAACATATAGTAAAGAAGCGAAGACCTTTTTTTTTGGCGTTGTTCAAGTGAACTGTTTGAAAAGTGAATTTCCCTCATGGATTTCGACTTCTTCTCGAGACATGTGGAAAGCGCTTAGGATAGTTTCGATCACATGGCAACCCATGTGAACACCGTTAAGAAGGGAATTCTCGACGTTTATGTCACAGAAAGCAGAATGTATATTCTGAAGAAACGCGAGTTCATGTACGGAATAACTTCAAGCTTTTCTTCCCTTAATTGTGCAAGAATCCAGTTTGCAAGCTCTCCTTTGCAAACTATTTCTAAAACTTTTCTTGTAAGGTATATCTGGGTGAAAATTCCAGTGCTTAATTTAGCACCCACCGATGGAGGACAAAGTGACTAACGGTTCTGAAATAAAGGAAGCGTCCCATGGTGGAGAAGAAAACAAAAGTCAGACGTCACAATCCTCCATGAATGATAATAAGGAAAGGACCAAGGTTTGTTCTAAAAGACCATTGGCGCAAAAGGTTTTACATATATGATGCCATTACAAAGTATTGTTAACAGCGAGTGTTGCGTAAACGCAAGTCTCCGCATGGCGACCGCTCTACTCCTGTCATTACTAAGATGGTATGTTTTATCATTTATGAACTACCTGTATAAAACGGGCTGTTGTTGTTGTTACCAAGGGTTGCAAGTCAACCTGTACTGACTTACTTTCAATAGTTCAGTCCCATTCAGCGTCCTCGTCGATCTGCTCGACTTATGGAAAAGCGACTTAGAAAGGTCAACCACTAGCGATGGTCGCCAGATTGAGCTGCGGCGAAGTGATAACCGTGGTCCAACAAACGTGTTGTTTTTATTCTATCTCAATAAAAATTTGAGCTTTGTGAACAGTGGGTCTACTGGTTTTACTGTAAGTAAGGGAAAAGTTTTCGTTCACTCACGCTAAAATCAAATCAAAAAAATTCGTGTGGTATATAACCACAACGATGCTGTGGTATTTGAAAAACTACTAACAGCACGTGTCTGCGGTGGAGATGAAACACGCCATTACCCTTCCCAGGAGCTGCAGTCTTTACCACCATACCATGCGGGTCCTTCATTTCGCCTTTCCCTCAGCCGTGTTTTATGAATTCCATTAGAAATAACCCGTCAACGGGGTCAATCTGAGGAGCACAAAACGGCATTGTACCTTGTTAAGAGAAGACTATAGTATAGATGACGATCTAATGACTTTTTATTAGGTGCCTCTGTTGTTTGTTGTAAGGTAAAGCTTTTAGACATTTCTTCTTTCTAAAGACTAACACTATAGAGCAAGAACTGGGGCAGACGTATTGAGCACCGGCCAGAGCAAAAGTTTAGTCTTCTTTTCAGAATGACACTCGAGCAAGTGATGTGCTTCTAACGCTGAAGCTGAGCGAATTGGTATATAAAACTCCGCCCCACCCACAGCAGCTTCCCAACTTCTCGCCAATCAACCACTAGTTTCTTCTAAAGCCTAGACACCTACTAGCTAAGAGAACCTTCA